GTGTGTGCTGATTACACTTTGTGTGATGTCAGTCTTTTAAAATTTACTGACACTTAATTTGTGGCCTACCATATAGTCTGTCCAGTGAAAATATAATCAGATGACAAGATGATAAAACTTTTAGACTTGAAAAATGATACACTTTTAATTTTACTATAGAAACTTAGAAGTGAGTGTGAAATTTTAGGTATCGTTCTTAATGATAGCTCATTACGTTTTGAAATGGTATCACTATTTTTATGGTAGTAAAAGAGGTTATCATTTATGAACTGTCGAACCAGTGACCTTAGCTCTTCAGTTGTGATGAAAGGCCCAATCCAACCTTTTATTGAATGTGATATTTATTAAAAATGAAACCTCTCGTTTCCATTACTTAATCAATAGTACATTAAGCCATTTATTAATATGATTAAAGGGTGTCTTGCAGACTAGGTCTGTTCCCTTGTCATCTAGTTTAATTTTTAAAACTAGGAGATTGCATTCAAACTGAATCAGTCAAACTCATCTCATCCTGTACTTGTGGTGGAAAGAATGACTAAAATTTGCAGGAAGAGGGTCTAACCCTAGCATACATGAGGTTCTGGGATCAACCGCCAGCACTGCCAAAAAGAAGTGCAGCAAGGAAATAATTTGTAATGGCTTAAGAGCAAGACCTTTTTTACATCATTACATGAGTAAACCTACCAGGAGAAGGTCTATTTATTTGCTCATTATTTGCTATTATTTATATTTGTTTAAGCAGTTTAATATAGGTGGCTTGTTGGTAAGAGTGCAAGAAATGCATCATGTAACTCATGTTGGCAGGGAAAGAGTCTAAAGGAGAAATGCAGAGTTGGAAACATGGAGGCCTAGCCCTTCCAGAGAGCCCCGCCTGCCTGCCTTCCGGCCTTCTGCAAGCACTCTACCACCCAGCTAATATCCCCGGCCCCAAAGCCTTGAGTTTCTCGTTTGTTCTTTCTTTTCTCTCTCCCTCTCCCCACCCCCCTCACTCAGTGCAGTACTGAGGGCCATGTAAGTACTAGGCAATCACTCTTCCAAGCAGTTACATGTCCAGTTACATGCTCTGATCCTTCTATTTCTAGTGAAACAGTACATACACAAGAGTACCCATCTCCTAACACATGGCTTGGCGAGTTTTCACAGCCAGGACTACTTCATGAATGAAGGTTCCTGTTGCTACAGGGTTAGGAGTAGGGTGGTCCTCTCTCACTGATTCTTGCAGTCACACCAGAAGATTTCAAACAAGCCTCTCAGAGTATCAGGCATGAGTTTATTAGAAGGGATGGGAAAGGGATAAGGGGACATTCATTCTCAAGGGACGAGCAGGTACTCTCAGAGAGAAGGACAACACTCCCCTCATGTCCTTCAGTCTTATTGGGGAGTCCCAAGGAACCTTCCAGAGAGTCCCATCCAGCTTAACTCTTGATTTTGGACTAAAAGCAGGATGACATCAAATATCCATGTCCCCACTGCACGTGGTAAAGATCCAAGGCAACTCGGTCACTTTTGGACCGTGTGGACCAGTTCTAATTAGAACCTGTTCTTGCAGGTTAAGAGTTAATGGCTAGGGGGAATTGTCCTTACCTCCCTTAGTTCTGGAATCTGGTCTGTGTGAGGGTCACAGAAGTCCCCTCTTATCTGCATTTCAGGCCCCTGGTTCCCCTGCAGATAACAGGTTGTTGAGGAATGTAACCTGTCCTGATGGCTTGAGGCAAGAAGGGCTTCAGGCAAGCTGCTGTTTTAAAGAAAGCATGTGGGCATCAGCACAGGGGAGCCAGTATGTAGAATTATTTCCTTAACCCCACGTTCCCACCACTCACCATCACTTGTATACAGGGCAGCCCCTTTCTCTGAATTGTCACAGCTTCGGTATTGCCAAAGGGTTGTGGGAATTGAATTGTGATGATGTTGGTGGCTAAAGTGGTTACCTTCCTGCTGTGTGCAAAGGTTTGCTGAGTTCTTTTACTTGCATTAGCGCCTTCATACCTCGTAGTAACCCTATGAGGGATGCTCTTGTCCACAGTCTTCAGATGAGGAAACAGAATGGGTGTTTTATTTTGTGGCACTGGGGTACTTTACCACTAAGCTACATCCTCCAGCGTTTTTGTTTTCTTTTGAGACCGAGTCTCACTAAATTGGAGAGACTTGGGCTCAAACTTGAGGCCCTCCTGCCTCAGCCTTCCGAGTAGCTGGGACTACACCATGCCTGGCTTTGGAAATGGGTTTTATTTTATTTTATTTTTTAAAATATCTTTTAGGGGGCTGGGGATGTGGCTCAAGCGGTAGCGCGCTCTCCTGGCATGCGTGCGGCCCGGGTTCGATCCTCAGCACCACATACAAACAAAGATGTTGTGTCTGCCGATAACTAAAAAATAAATATTAAAATTCTCTCTCTCTCTCTCTCCCTCTCATCACTCTCTCATATATATATTTATATATATATATATAAAAATATATATATATATATCTTTTAGTTGTCAATGGACCTTTATTTTATTTATTTATATGTGATGCTGAGAATTGAACCCAGTGCCTCACACATGCCAGGCAAGCGCTCTACCACTGAGCCACTACCAGAGCCTCTGGAAACAGGTTTTAAAAGAGCTACAGTTGTTAAGTTTTGCTGTGTGCAAAGCACTTTTTGGTCACCAGCTCATTTCATCTTCACATCTTCCCTGAAGGCATCTTATCCCCTCTCAGAGGTGGGAGATAAAGGTCAGAAAACTGACTTACAAGAGTCACAGAGCTTGGAGACGAGGGACCCAGTATCCAAACACAGGCCATTTGACTCCAAAGCCTGCATTCTCCACCACCAAATGGAAGGTCTGTGTAGAGCATGGCGTAAATCACGCAGATAACCAGCTGGGGAGGGCAGGGAAGGCAGTCAACTAAGAGCTGTTTAATAACGTCATTCCCAAGGCTACCGCAAGGACAAGATGGGAAAAGAGATTAGTGGTAGGTGGGGGCAAAAAGTCTACCAAATTCTTGCAGGCAGAGGGACACTCTGTTTCAAGATCCATGACCCTTCTCTGATGGAGCAGTTTTTCCTGATTTAAAGCAACAGCATCGAAGCTGCGTCTCAGTCCAGCAGGCAGCCAGGCTGTGCAGGCCTGGCCTAGAGGACAGCTTGTGGCTTGGGTCTGGCTGCTGCTTCTGTGAAAACCAGAATCCAAGCTGGTTGGAGCAGGACATCCCCAGCCACCTGCTGGGACAGAGGAGCCCAGGCTGGAGGGCAGGTGAGGAGACGCCCCCAAGCCTCTCTCCAGCTGTGTCCTCTGCACACCTTCCCTGTCCTATTTACCATCTCCCTGTTGGAGATCTTTGGAATTCTTTGTTTAGAACCTCTGCTCAGTGTCTGAACAATAGTCCTATAGAAAAGTTGTAATTTTTCTTGCCAATAATTATAAGTAAAGCAGAAGAGTTTTACCTTTAAGAGTGAAAAAAATTTAATAGTCCTGGAATTCAAATATATCCAAATGCTGTGGAAATTATAGAGAAATACAGTGTAGCATTTTCCATTGTGACCTTGGTCCATGGAACTCATTAGTTCCCCGTGACCTCTCTCCTTGAGGATCCACCTGGCAGAACCAGATCCTGGAGCATCCCAGTCCCTGGCAAACTCACTGGGGACCTGGGCTCATTCTTCTACCCAGATGGCCCCTGTCTTGCTGTCTCTGACTCAGAAACGTACTTCAGTTGTGTGGAGGGGCTGTCTCCCACAGTAAAGCGCTCAACACCGCCCGCAAAGTACTGCCCTGCCCTTCTCCTCTACAGACCAAACGGCGTGGAGGCCAATGCCCACGTGGAAAACAACTCCCAGCAGCTGGAGGGCCAGCCCTGTGCGCTGAACAGGCTTCTAGGGCCAAGGGACTCAGGGTGAGGGCCTATTGGTGGCTATAAGGAGGCCCAGGAAGGAATCATGTTGTGGTGGCCCCCTGCCTCTGCACCATGTGGCTCTGGGTGTCATCTGCACTGTCAGGCAGAGTGGGCTTCCCCTCAGGACACCAGAGAAAGGGACAGATGTGTCTGTTGGAAGAAGCCCGCTGGTTGGGTCTTACTGGCCTGGTCACTACAGAGTAGTAGGGCCTTTTTGCCAGTTTTAAAATTGGAGGGCAAATTAGTGTGTGTGGTTGGTTTTTATACCATTACTTATCTTTGGTTTTCAAGAACTAATATTTATTAAGACTTTGTCAGACTGGTTCAGTGGGTATCATTTCTGTCTGATGAATAGCACAAGGCTTTTTTTTTTAACTAGGGACTAAAACCAGGGGTGCTTAAGCACTGAGCCACATCTCTACCCCTTTTTATATTTTGAGACAGGGTGTCATTAAGTTGCTCAGAGTCTTGCTAAGTTGCTGAGGCTGGCTTTGAATTTGTGATCCTCCTGCCTCAGCCTTCCACAAGTCACTGGGATTGCAGATGTGCACCACCGCGACCGCAGGTCACATGGCTTTCTTCTTTGTGAACCTAGATAAGTGGGCTTATGTGGCGTTTAGTCTCAGCTCAAAACACCATGTGCCAGAGTAAGGACAGGGGCTTTCCTTCCCTCTGGTAGTAGGTTCCCCAGCAAGACACAGTAGCTATTGATGTACATAATTGATCACTTTGTTTTGTTTTGTTTTAATTTTTTTAAAAGCTACAGATAACCTCCTTGAATATTTATTTTAAGAGAGAGAGAGAGAATTTTTTTATATTTATTTTTCAGTTTTTGGCGGACACAACATCTTTATTTTATTATATGTGGTGCTGAGGATCGCACCCAGCGCCCCGTGCATGCCAGACAAGCGCGCTACCGCTTGAGCCACATCCCCAGCCCCTGTTCACTTTGTTAACTGTTAAAAGAAGGAGGCTTACTGAGGCAGTAAAGCATACTTCACTGTATCCTGTATGTGGAGAGCAAACAGGTTGGAAGGTGACTGACAGGCTCCCATTCAAGGCTGGTGCTGATCATCATGTTAAGTACCATCAACTGTTCTCTAATGGAATCTCTCTTTCTTCAGGCTTCTTCTGAAGAGCTGAAAGCTGCCTACCGGAGGCTGTGTATGCTTTACCACCCTGACAAGCACAGAGACCCAGAGCTCAAGTCACAGGCGGAGCGACTCTTTAACCTTGTTCACCAGGCTTATGAAGGTCAGTGCAGGGCTCGGCGTCCCGAAGCTCGCTGGTAGCAGTTACTCGATTTTTAAGAGACTTGATTTATAGAGGATAGAAAATGAGAGTCCTTGGAGGTGTGTAAAAGAAGTGCTTAGTTGAGTGCTTCTTACTGATGGAGTCCTTTGTGAGAGCTGCATCTTGCTTTGGAAATCGATATGTGTCCAGTGAGTAGAGAATGAGAGCCCAGGTGCAGCAGCGACTGTGGTGTGCATCGGTGTGCATGCTTGCTGGCCGCCTCCAGGGGGAACTTTGGAGGGAAGCACCATCATTACTGGGAAGCTTTCTTTGTTCTCTTTTTTTATCTGAAAGCAGTTTTATTGCTTCTGCAGCATTCCCTTAAAGAAGGTTCTGAAAAAAAGAAAGAAAATGTTGTTAAGAAGGCAAATAGGAAAGAGAGTCGGGTGGTTCAGGCTTTCATCCCTAAATCGTAGGTGTCAGGAAGAAGAATTGTGAGGTTTGCTTAGGAAATATTTAGTTCACTGGTGGGTTCAGAGTTTCTCTTTGGGTGATGAAAACTTCTGGATGCAGTGACAGAGCCTAACACCTCACTTGTGCCCACTTCTGCCAAAGATCATACTTGGAATGGGTAAATCGTATACTGTCTACATTTTATCACATTCTTTACAATAAAAGCCAAAATACATCAAATTGGGCTGGGGATATAGCTAAGTTGGTAGAGTGCTTGCCTCGTATGTACAAAGCCCCAGCAACACACACACACACACAAATTAAATCACTTGATGTATGAGGATATATGCCAAATAAAGTAAGTTATTCATTCCAGAACCACTTGGTGTTTGCTTCTTACTCAAAGAGACCAAAAATTGGGGGCTGAGGTTGTGGCTCGCCCAGCTCATGTGAGGCCCTGGTTTCAATCCTTAGCGCCGCATAAAAATAAATAAATAAAACAAAGGTTTTAAAAAAGAGAGAGACCAAAAATTAGATGATATGTTTCTTTACACAATAATAAATAAAGACTTCTTGTTGCAGACATAATAGCATATGTTATTTTACCTTTTACCAGGAAGTTAGATTTTAATGACCAGTAAAAAAAAAATCAGGCCTGGTAATAACAAATGTGAGCACTTGGTCTCTTGTCATTACCAAATTTCATGCTGTTCAAACCACTTATGTGGCTGTGTCCCAAAGTCTTTTTATTGCATTCTGTTGTCTAGAAGGTGGCATTGATTTTACTGTTGTCCAGGTTAACAGAAAAACCCGCCCATGCTTGTGAAGATGCCACAGCAGCAGACCTGGTCCCCAAATTTTGTCTAAAAGGAGATGAAAATAAAATAGTGAATAGATGTTTTCTTATTAAATCCTAGAGATTAACTCAAGAATTCTTGCTCCCATGTTTTCCAGTGGTCAGCATTTCTTTCTTCCCCATAAGGTTTGAATATGGATGGACTCATTTACATTGTTTTTTAATTAGGCCTAAAAATACATGAGAATGCTCAGGGGAGAAAAGATGCAAAGGTCCTGAGCAGTTTGGCAGAGTGGTGGGCAGACTGTGACTGCTCTTGGCCATTGAGGGCCCCTGATCCTTGCCAAGAAATCTTTCTGACAGGCTTTACCTGGTGTGACCAACAACAGTAAGAGGGATTGGTACCTTTTAAAATAATTCCAGATGAAAAAGAGAGGGGCACTCAAAAAGTGTAGACTGTCTCAGGAGATATTAACACTCTTTAGAGTAAATTATAAATCAGATTTTTCTTTAGAAAATGCAATCAACTGTCAGACCAGCATATTCTATATACTGTGACAGAAACTGGCCAGATTATTTCAGGAACAGCAGCCCTTTATCCTGGCTTCCTGCAGGTGCACCTTGTGCCCTTTGTCCCTACAGTGAAGAGAAGCCTAGACTGGGCAGGTGGACTGCTCTCGTTTGCAGCCATCTTTAAACCACAGCCTGGGTTGGCAAGGAAGCACATAGGAGAAAAGAGGCCCAGAGAGTGACACGGGTCTCTGGGAAGAGTGGCCAGGTGGGGGCACCAAGGACATTGTTGCCAGTGTTTTCAGAAAGGATTGAAAAGAGAATTTTGTACTTGGTAAACATATTTCATTTTTCTTGTTGCAGTGCTTAGTGACCCCCAAACGAGGGCCATCTATGATATATATGGAAAGAGAGGACTGGAAATGGAAGGATGGGAGGTAAGAGAAACTGTACATCTGGCGTCCCGGAAAAGTCATGAAACAACTACAAAACAGCACCCCACAACCTGTGATAAGGCCTTTGAGAATATTGGAGGTGCCACAGGTCCCTTCCTCACCTTGTGTTTTAGTGTCCAAGGTGGAATTCTAGACCTCATTTTGCCACTCCGTAACTCTCTGAACTTTGGCAAGTCTGCAGTCTGGGGTGTCTGTAGTTTCCTAACCTGTCAAGTGAAAAGGAAGAGATGCATGGCACCCCAGGTGTTCAGCCTGGGATGGGGCTGGGGAGCCCTGGAAGACGGTGGCTTGGTGAGGGGTGCAAGTCTGCCTGCACATATTCCCTTCCCCCTCCACTGTCTGTCCATGCCTTTCTCCACCTTCATGATGAGTAACTGCGCTTAGGAAGTGTCCCTGCTGGGAGAGTTAGGCATGTGAAGAGCGTGGAACAGAAAAATCGAGAGTATTGTCTGTGATCACCTGTTCGGGTGTGATGGATGATGTCATGATGTCGTCAACTGTGATACATGAGACCAAAGGTGCAGCGACTGTCTGTGAAACAGGTCGCCTGGCAGCTGTGGTACAGGAGGAGATCCCTGAGATGCAGGCGCTTCCGATTCTGTTTCTTTTTTATTATTATTATTATTATTTATTTTTTAGTTTTAGATGGACACAATACCTTTATTTATTTGTTTTTATTTTTATGTGGTGCCGGGAATCGAACCTAGTGCCTCACATATGCTAGGCAAGTGTTCTACCACTGAGCCACAACCCCAGCAGCCCTCCTGTTTCTTGCTGTGTGCTTCCATATTACTGTCAACAGAGGAGCATGAGGGGCTCAGGAAGAAAAGTGGACATGGAAACTAATAGTAAAACTAAATTGCAGGGCTGGGGATGTGGCTCACAAAATAAAGATGTTGTGTCTACCTAAAACTAAAAAATAAATATTAAAAAAACAAACTAAATTGCAGCAGGAATGTATAGGTGTTATGACTTAATTCCATTAAAGAAATTTGGTTCTGATGCCCAAGAAATTTGGGCAAGCTGTTAGTTAATAACATCAGATTCACCTTCTCTGAGGTTTTGTGCCCCCTTTTCCCATCATCATATAATGTTTCCCTTGAAGTTCTTCCAGTATTTGACCTCAGGCATGTGTGCCTATCTCTTCAGATTCTAGCAGGATACCTCTCAAGCCTGAGGGTATGGGCAAGGAACACTCCCGTTTCCATTTCCCCAGTACTGGGGATTGAACCCAGGGGCATTCTAACTCCGAGCTGTGTCCTCAGCCCTTTTTATTTGATTTTGAGACAGGGTTTCACTAAGTTGCTGGGGCTGGCCTTGTGGGAGGCTGCCACATCATGTGACCGGCATTTTCCTTTCCTGATTGGTGAGGCTCTATGGGTCACTTCCTGTGATATGGTCACATCAAAGTGGCCGTAGATGGTAGCCCTGATCTTGAGAGTCATAAAAATGTCGCCAAATGTGTCTTCGTGCGTGGATGTGCCTTCCTACATACCCAGGGATCGAGTTACCTTACCTGAACTTGTAACCCTGCCCCTCTTGATCTGTTTTGAATGGCAATTTCTAAGAATCAGAGTCCCCCCAATAAAAGACCACTCCCGAATGTGTTAGCTCTCTTGCCTGCCTTTCATGACATTCCTCGCTCTCCCATTTGGGGAGTTTGAGGCTGAGGGCAGAGGAGCCGTCCCGGGGCTTGAATTAAAGGTAAATTTAACTAATGGTAAATTTAATGTGTGTCTGTGTTTTATTTGATACCTTAGGAAATTCACTCAAACAACCTCTAGTTTAGCTGCCCACACTGGTCGGGGGCAGTAATTGTTGCCCAGAACATTGGGGCTGCTCCAGGAGAATTTCCAGGTTGATTGAGAAAGTGTGCTATAGAAATTTATTGGACCGTGGAATTTTTTGAAGGGTCACGGAGAAAGCAGACAGTTTTAGAGCCAACAATGTTAAAGGTTTATCACGTGAAGTGACCAACAAGCCTCACCAATCAGGAAAGGAAAATGCTGGTCACACAATATGGCGGCCTCCCACATGGCCTCAAACTTGTGGTCTTGTGATCTTCCTGCCTCAGCCTCCTGAGTCTCTGGTATTACAAGGGTATGCCACCATGCCCAACCCACCTGTGACCATGTTTTTATTGCCCTGTACAGTGAATTGTAGTTGCTAACATTTAAAACTTGAGAGGTATTTGACACCCAGGCACACCCCTGTAATCCCAGCTACTCGGGAGGCTGAGGCAGAAGGATTGCAAGTTCAAGGGTCAGCTTGAGCAACCTAGTAGACCCTGTCTCAAAATAAAAAGGGCTGGAGATGTAGCTCATAGGTAGAGAACTTCTCTAACGTGATTAGGGCCCTGGATTCCATCCCCAGCGATCGATCAATTGATCGATAGATAGATAGATACCCTTTGGGAGTTTTTGCATGGAAATTCAATCTTCTTGAAGCACCAAAAGATTAGTCATACTGGATCTAAATTGCCCTGAAAGGCAGCAGTCAACTTGAAGTGAGGAGCTGAGCCCTTTAGACTGGGCTGTGCTGTGCACCCCCAACAGGCCCCACCACTCCCTGTCAGTCATTATATCAGGCCGTTCGCTCCTTTGCTTCTCCTGCCTGGCTTCAAAAAGCAGTGGGTTTGTGTTCTCTGGTTTGATGGAAAAATGGTGCCTTGTGCTGCAGTAGTGCATCATGACTCCGTGTAAAGTCTGGTACCTTAGCATTTTTTTATTCCAAAAGAGGACATAGAATCCTGTTGTATTTATTAAATTTCTCAACTTTAAAGTTTCCTTAATGTTTTAAGACATAAGTTGATTGAAAGTTTGAAAGGCAGAAGTGAGAGCTGTAGGCCCTCATTACATATTCCCACTTCAGAGTCTAGGATTTTAGTTCCCAGGAGAACCATTCCAAGTCTCCTGAGGCATTGGAGTCTTCTGCATGATTTCCTAGTGTCATCTCCCCAATTAGAAATGAGGCAAAACCATACACAGCAACAAGGCCATCACAGGTGGTGAGTGGATGATTCGTACTAGTATTCTTTTTTTTACTTATATATATATTTATATATTTTAGTTGTAGTTGGACGCAATACCTTTATTTTATTTACTTTTATGTGGTGCTGAGGATCAAACCCTGGGCCTTGCACATGCCAGGTGAGTGCTCTACCACTGAGCCACAACCCCAGCCCCTGTACTTGTATTCTTTAGTAAACTACTTCAAGTAAAAAAAGTTCTCATTGGTCAGAATTGGCTTTTTTCATAGTGATACTAAGCTTTCACTGCAAGACAAAAATGCTTTCAAGGCAGGATACATGAAGATGCCACCCAAGATATTTGCAGTGACCTTGGACTCCAGCACAGTCCTCAAGGACTTGCTCCAGCTGGGTGAACTGTTCCCAACCTGGATTCTCCCTCTGCAGTGGTAGCTGTCACCTCAGCAGGGTGCCATACCCACTTCCTGCTCTGTGTATTCTAGGCTATCAGACTTCACCAGTCACTGAGGGTACCCACTTTGTACCTGTTTAATATGGAACCTGTGGGTGGTAAAGGGTGAAGGGCGCTGCTGGTGTCCTCAGATCTCAGCACCCCTGGGGAGGGGCTGGCAGTCTGCTCCCAGCAGTCCTACCACTTCCATTTTATGATGGATGCTGGAGGAGAAATTGGAGCTTCTTTGGCTTCCATGAAATATCCATTAGATAAGTTTATACTTTTTTCCTTAACCTTCAGGACTTTCTCCTTCTCTGGCAGGATTCCAAAGCAATGAGATGTAATCATTTCCAGCTTGAAAAGTCACCCATGTTAGTGCTTGGAGTTGGTTAACAGTGTTGGTACAAATGTCCACATTGAAAACAAAATTTGTCTTTTCACTAAAATAGCAAAAATCTAGGACTGGGGTTGTGGCTCACTGGTAGAGCGTGTGTGAGGCACTGGGTTCAATTCTCAGCTTTGCATATAAATAAATGAATAAAATAAAGGTTCACTAACATCTAAAAATAAATTTAAATAAATAAAATAGCAAAAATCAATTTATTTATTCATGGTACTGGAGATTGAGCCCAAGTTCTTGTGCACGCTAGACAAGCTCTCTACCAGCTGAGCTCTGTTCTTAGCCCAATGAAAATCTAACTTTGAACTGTGCTTTGATGATGTTGACTGATAGCAGGGGCAAGTGGAATGGAAAACACATAACTCAGTTCACCTACAAATGTCATTTTCAAAACTTACGTTTAGGGCTGGGGATATAGCTCAGTTGGTAGAGTGCTTGCCTCACATGCACAAGGCTCTAGGTTCAATCCTTAGCACCAAAAAAAAAAAAAAAAAAAACAAAATTTATAGTTAGAGTTGGATCCTTTGGCCTGGGTCATCTGCATTTTGCAATCACGGTATTATCTTTGTTTCACTTTTCCCATCTTGGATTGGAACCCAGAACAAAGAAAGGATGTTAGTGAAAAAAATAGTAAAATCTGAGAAATCTGGGTTTAGTTAATAGAAATGTAATAATGAACTGGGCATGGTGGCTCATGCCTATAATCCCAGTGGCTCAGGAAGATGAGGCAAAAGGATCACAAGTTTAAAGCCAGCCTCAGCAAAAGCGAGGCGCTAAGCAACTCAGTGAGACCCTGTCTACAAAATAGGGCTGGGGATGTGGCTCAGTGGTCGAGTGCCTCTGGGTCCAATTCCTGGTACCCAAAATAAAAGAAAAAGAAATGTACTAATGTTGGCTTCAGATTTGACACATGTTCATGATTACGTAAGATGTTAACATTAAGGGAAGCTGGATAAAGAGTATACTGGAACTTTCTGAACTATCTGCAACTATTTTGAAGTTCTAAATTTCTAAAAGTATTCCAAAATAAGAAATTGGCTAATATCATAGAATTTTCAAACCAGATGGCACCTTGGGAATTTTATTTTTTTGTTTTTTGTTTTGGTACCAGGGATTGAACTCAGGGGCACTTAACTACTGAGCCACACCCCCAGCCCTTTTTTGTGTTTTATTTAGATACAGGGACTCGCTGCGTTGCTTAGGACCTTGCTAAGTTGCTGAGGCTGGCTTTGAACTTGCAATCCTCTTGCCTCAGCCTCCTGAGCCTCTGGTATTACAGGCGTGTGCCACTGCACCAGGCAGAATTGGGTATTTTAACTGTCCTCATGTCATAGCAGGAAACTGAAACTTACAGAGGAATGACTTGCCTCAGGTTGCCTGGAGGTTAGCAGTTGTGTCAGACAGAGGCTAGGTTTCTGTTCTCTTTCCATTTGCCATCTCCCTTCCAAAATGTCTGTATTCCTCTCTCCATAAGGTGAGGCTTCCTGGCTAGTCTAGGGATAGACCTGTGGCAGGTGGTTCAGGTGAACAACACACTTGTGTAGATTCTTGGGCTGCATGTGATGCTCTCTGTTCATGAGAAGCAGAGAATATGTGATCTTTACCAGCTGCAATACTGTACAGGGTGCTGTGTTCCTGGATGCTTCTAAGGACTGCCACAGTGGGGAAGAGTGGCCCATGGCCATCTTAGTCCCCATCTACTCTCCAACATCATGTCCTCTGTTCATAGAAGGATGTGAAGCATCCTGGATGGCAAAGGCCTGTGGGAGCCAAGAGTGAGATGCTTGCTTAGCAAAGTGTCCTCCACTCTCTGGAGGGACCAGCCGTTTTGACTTGGCAGTTAGCTCTGATTATGCACCAACTATTTGCAGAATTATTCATAATATGACTAGAAGCCAAGTTCAGTGGCAGGTGCCCGTAATACAGGCTACTCAGGGGGCTGAGCCCAATCTGGCATTTTTTGGATTATTTTTTTCTGTAGCTTATCACAGAGTACAACAGGAAGTAATTTGCAGCTATTAATTCCATCTGCAAAGAGTAAACAGCTAGAATTCCTGAAAACATATCTTTTCCTGCTGTGACCTCTATGGAGCCTGGCATGTCTAATATTTTGATTTCCTGCAGGATACGAACAGATTTAAATTATTAGAAACTTGCACATTGGTTTATTTTTTTAAAAAATGGTGTATGCACACATTGATGGGGTCTGTTAATGTTACTGGTTAAAATTATGGCTAAGCAAACTTTTGCTTGGGCTGGGGCTGAGTGGTAGAGCGCTTGCCTTGCATGCATGAGGCACTGGGTTCAATCCTCAGCACCACATAAAAATAAATAAATAAAATAAAGTATTGTGTTGTCCATCTACATCTTTAAAAAAAAAAAAAAAAAAACTTTTGTTTAACCTGTTTTTAAAACCAGGCCCTGTTGAATGGAACAGTTATGGAACCTTTGGTCCAAGTTGGGACCGTGTTGATTCCCTGGGCTATGTGGAGGAGCCACCTCCCTTCCAGACCTCCTGGCTTCACACCCAGACCCTCTTGTTCCTCGTGATGTGTTTCTTAAGTCATTGGCAGGGGCCAGATAAATTGTGTTTGCAGCCATAGCCCACTTAACCTCATGAACAACATTTAAAGTATTTTGAATCATTTTTTATGGTTCTTCAAAGATAAATGTAACAATTGACTACATAGTTTCCCTGAAGGTTTTTTTTTTTTTTTTCTTCCTTCAATCAATGAAGGGAGAGACTGACAGGTTAGAAGGTAATGGAAATTGTAGATTGTGCCTGGCTTTCATTCCGGCCAAGGTGGTGGCTTTGGGTATCCACTGATAGGCTCATGGGCCCTTGGTGTTGGCAAACTCAGGAGAGGGACCTGTCCTGTCCATTTAGTAAAACCAAGTATGTTTCCTGAGGTCCCAAAGCAATTTCTGTCATGCCATTTAGGTCTTTCTATTTTTTCTTGGGTGATTTTAATAATCTTTTTTTTTAACCAGGGATTGAACTCAGGGGCACTCATCACTGAGGCACATCCCAAGCCCTTTTTTGTATTTTATTTAGAGACAAGGTCTCACTTAGTTGCTTAGCACCTTGATATATTGCTGAGGCTGGCTTTGAACTCATAATCCTCCTGCCTCAGCTTCCAGAGCCTCTGGGATTACAGACATGTACCGCCGTGCCCAGCTAACCTTTTTTTATTTTAAAGCTTCCTTAAAAAAGAATTACCTCTGCCAGGCGTGATAGCACACTCCTGTAATCCCAGCAGCTCAAGAGGCTGAGGCAGGAGGATCGCTAGTTCAAAGCCAGCTTCAGCAAGGATGAAGTGCTAAGCAACTTAGTGAGACTCTCTCCAAATAAAATACAAAAAGGGCTGGGGATGTAGCTCAGGGGTCGAGTGCCCTTGGTATCAATCCCTGGTACCAAAAAAAGAAAAAAAGAATCACCTCTTCCTTTTTAGCAGTTGATTTATAATATTAAATTATTTGAGGGGAAAAGAATGTTACTCACCCCATCACCAAATGTGCTAGGAATTGAACCCAGAGCTTTGCACAGTGCCAGGCAAGCACTGCCGCCGCTGCTTTTTTCCCTTAACCCTTTTTATTTATTTATTTATTTATTTATTTATTTATATTTTATTTTGATGAGACTGGCCTCAAATTTGCAATCTTCAGTCTCAGCCTCCCAAGTAGCTGAGATTACAGGAATATACCAGTGGGCTGGTTTTCCTTATTTATTTATTTGTTTGTTTGTTTGTTTGTTTATTTTTCTGTTCACTTTCTAAAAGTAGAGGTGGACAAATATCTCAGCCTTTTTGGATAAGCTAGTATCTGTGTTTATTTTCTCCATCAAGTGGAACAAATCTTATAATATGGTCACATTTATGTTAAAAATGTTCATATATACATAAATGCAAACACATACATATGTAAAGATTTTTAGGAAGAGACATAAATAATTGAATATTAACCTATGATTGGGTTAGGGATGTTCAGTAGTAGAGCATTTGCCTAACATTTACAAGGCTCTGGGTCAATTCCTAGCACTACCAAAAAAAGTTTGTTTGTGTGTGTAGGTTACCTACAATAAGAGGGAATGTGTGCTGGGTGTAGTGATTCACACCTGTAATCCCAGCAAGTCAGGCGACTGAGGCAGGAGGATCACAAGTTGGCAATTTAGCAAGACTCTTGTCTCAGAATAAAAATTACAAGGACTGGGGATGTAGCTCAGTAGTAGAGTGCCCCTGGACTCAGACCCCAGTACTGATGGTGGGGGGGGTGGTAAAAAGAAAGAGAAGAGAAACGTGACTTTTTTATATACTCTGTACTATTGGTTTTTTGCTATAAGAATAATTTTTAAAAATATTTTTAGTCACAGATGGACACAATACCTTTATTTTCTGTATGTATGTATTCACTTATTTATTTTGTGGTGCTGAGAGAGGATCGAACCCAGTGCCTCACGCATGCTAGCACTCTGCCACTGAGCTACAGTCCCAGCCCCCATGGGCATATATTTTTTAAAAATATCTTTCAAACTCGGAGCTCCCTGGGTACGTTTTCTCCTGTCACCTACCAAGTGGTAGATACTCTGTCAGCTACACCTACAGACTCTCTGTATTTCTTCCACCAACAAGGAATATGCACTTGGATGTGCTCCCTTGTCCACGACTGAAGAAGAGCAACCTCTTTTCTGTCCTTCTCCCAGCAAACCGTTTCTTGCAGTGCTTAGGACTGTGCAGTCATAAGTGGGACCCCAAGCTGTCACATGGTGCAGTTTCCTTTTCCAGAAGAGGCACCGGAGACCCTGTAGCTGTGTCCTCCTGTGTTTCTCCCCACAGTCACCTCTCTGAAATCTCATCTTGAGCTAAGACTAGAATGTCATGGGATGTTCTGTGCAAAGGTTTGTCACATTGTGGGAGAAAGGGTCCCAGAAGTCTAGAACACCCGACCCTCACAGCTTGAGATCCTCTGGTCCTATCAGCCCACAAGGAGTGTAGTGACCAGCCAGAGTCATGTCTGAGTTCATAGCCAGAATTTATAACCAGGGACTCAATTAGAAAATTTAAACTGTGAGATTTTCTTTGTAAGATTCACGCAGCCTCAAAGAGGTGGCTTAAAGTAAAGAATGTCAGACTGCAGAATGGCAGTTATCAAATATACAGACAGTAATGAGTGTTGGAGAGGATGTGGGGGAAAGGTACACCATGCACTGCTGGTGGGATTGCAGACTGGTGCAATTACTTTGGAAAGGAGTGTGGAGATTCCTCAGAAAACTTGGAATGGAACCACCATTTGGCCCAGGTATCCAACTCCTCAGTTTATACCCAAAGGACTTAAAATCAGCATGCTGAAGTGACCTAGCCACTCCAATGTTTATAGAGCTGAATTCACAATAACTAAACTGTGGAACCAATCTAGATGCCCATAAATAGATGAATGGATAAAGAAACTGTAGTATATGTAAACAATGGAATATTACTCAGCATTAAAAGGGAATACAGTTATGGCATTTGCAGGTAAATGGATGGAGTTGGAGAATATTATGCTAAGTGAAGTAAGCCAAACCCAAAAAACTAAAGGCTGAATGTTTTCTGATTAATGGATGCTGATCTATGATTGTGGGGGTTGATGGGGCATGGGAACAATGGAGGAACTTTGGATTGGGCAAAGGGGAGGGTGGGAAGGGGTTATGGAGGTAGGAAAGATGGTGGAATGAGATGGACATCATTCCCCTAGGTATGTGTATGATTTCATGAATGTTGTGTCTCTACACTGTGTACAACCAGAGAATTGAAATGCTGTGCTCCATTTGTGAATGATGAATTGAAATGCATTCTGCTGTCATGTACAACTAAGTAGAACAAATAAAAATAATAATAAAAAAGAATGTCAGACTGTGGAGAGTTGAGGGAAGTCACACACTACAGTCCTGGGAGGGTGGCAGCGCTCTCTGTCCTCTGGGGTCCATGGTGGAGAGCTCGTCACAGCTCCCCTGACATCTCAAGGTCCCAGGGGCGTGCATGGTAGGCTCCCCAGCAGCCTGTACATGCCAAAATGAAGTCATTCAGAAATTCTTTGCCTATTTTCCTCGCGTCCTAGTTCTCAGCTGGCTGCCTTGCTTTGCCCGCAGGTTGTGGAGCGGCGGCGAACTCCAGCGGAAATTAGAGAAGAGTTTGAACGACTACAGCAAGAGCGGGAGGAGAGGAGGCTGCAGCAGCGAACCAACCCCAAGGTAGCCCGGCCAGTGGTGGGACAGGGAAGCCTCAAAGACTGAGGGGCGGGTAGGCTTTTACGGTAACCGTGCACCAACGGGGTGGGGCAAAACACCTGCCTCACAGCGGGTTCTTCCGGAAGGTGGCTCTGGTAGCCGCTGCTGACCTGGAGCAAGAGTTTCCACCCAGCTGGAGGGAAGACAAACCAACCCCCAGTTCTCCCAGAAGCCAGGATCCCCAAGCAGAAACTCAGGCTGGTTCTCCTGCAGCTGGGCTGCCCAACTCCTTGGCATTAAAAATCAGCCCAAGACAGTGTCAGGAAGGGACAGGCACCTAACCGCTCAAACATGAGGCTGACAGGACAGGGATGGCCAAATGATGCAGAGGATGTGGGGCGTTCTCAGATTCCAACAAGCAGGGGTCTCTGCTTTCCTCACCCCAGGACGTGGGAGCCATGAACACAAGTCACCAGACTATCTCTGCAGCGTAAGTGACCAAGTCCCCAAAGAGCACTACAGAGGCAGAGTTACTCTTCAGTCCAAGTACCATGTTCTGTTCTTTGCATTTCTTAGGGAGGTTGTCCTGAGAGTGTGGGATGGCAGCTGTGCCGAGTGATGGGATTGTGGCCTGGTGTACTGTCCAACTGTGCGGTCAGAGGACTTGGCAGCCAGGCCCCTCCCTGTGGCCAGCATGGCCATGCAGAAAGCCTGTCTCTCGTGATGAGGGCTAGTAGCCTTCTCCAGGACTCCCATAATCTGTCAACTCAATTGCATTGTAGGAAGGAGAAATTAAGCCAAATAAAGTATTTAACAAACATAATTATTTTTCTTTAAATCTTCTAAAAAAGAAACAATGACAGCTTAGACTGGGAAGCAGAGAGTAAAGTGAACCTCTGATTAAATTCGTTCTAGTAAAAGACCTTATTTTCAGAACAGGCCTGTATGTTTGAACCCTACATTCCCCAGTGTATATATTTTAGTTATCCTGCAGGGTCCTAGAAAGGTTGGTTTCAGAACATCTCAAAGATGTCAAATTCCAGATGTGCTCAAGTTTCTTGTATAAAATAGCATGGTGTTTGCATATAACCTGCACACCTCCTCCTGTGTGTCTAAAATCGCTTCTAGATTACTTACAATGACACAGTGTAAATGCTGTAGAGACGGTTGTTATGCTGTATTGTTGAAGGAGTAATGACAAGAAGAACGTCTTTGTTTAGTACCAGTGGGAATTTTCTTTCCTGTACATTTTCAATCCATGGATGCATGGCCATGGATACAGATGGCTAATGGTATTTGTAAATGTCCACACACACTTAACTCATAGCAGGTAACAGCTTTAGTTGTGTGGAGCTGTCTCTTAATCAGAAGGAGGTAGGAGGTGACCCCAGCTGAACTGAGCCAGGGAACTCAGAAGTCTCTGAGGTGTCCCAGCTGTTCCAGCAGTTCCCTGCTGTGATCCCCAGGTGGGCCCAGACCAGCATGCTAGGGGTGTCCGGCTTAAAATACCAGTGTTGGCAGCTGGGCTGAGGCGGGCAGAAAGTTGCCCTGGTGGCTTTACTGTCCTGGCTGCATTTGTGCTGCAGTCTGAGCAGTAACAGGGAAGAGAGGGTCCCGAGCTGTGTTCCTGCGAACACAGAAGCCATCTGGGAGTGCCTGGTTGTGCGCGGTGGTTGTGTATCGGGACTCTGTGCACATGTGCCTGCGGGCCCTGTTTCTGTGGAGTGAGAGCACAGCTGGGACCATTTCCTGCAGGCATGCAAGTTATTTTAAAACTTCCACTACTTTGCTACTTCCATAAACTGCTTTGAAATAAATAAAACATTTTCTAACCAGAAATGGTGATAACCAGATGTTGGCTCTGAGGCATTTTGTGGAGAGGATTGGAGCTGGATCTTTTGTTCCATTTCCAAAGTGTTTTTTTTGGTTTGGTGTTTTCTTTTCAAGATGAGCCGAAAGGTTTGGAACATCTCCTTCTGAGAAGAAAACGGTTTTCTTCTCTTAACAGGTCCACATTTGATAATCGTAGGAATCCACCTGTCCACTGGACCCCTCAGTGGACTCCAGCTTGTAGGGGAGTGGCAGGCTGGATGCCATGTGTGATCTTGCATCTGACTCTTGGGAGGGTGTGTCTGTCTTCATCAGTGGGAGTCATTAGGATTTTGCCTCAGGATGGGTGTACAGAGCAAAAAGTCCAAGTGGAAAAGGGAGGTGAGAAATGACTGATGCAGAAAAGCAGGACCCAGCATACTCTTTGGCCTGTGTTTAGTTTTCTTGTGGGTAAAATTAGGACATCCATCATGCCTGCTGCTCCAAGTTGAAAGATTGAGTAAATATGAAGTTGATGTTATGAGAAAAAGATAACCCTGATTTGTAAATACAAGTGACACTGGTACCAAGGTGAGGTTTGGAGCCTAATTTTATTTTAGCCATATAGCTCTTCCTTTTTTCTTCTACCACTGAGCCACACCCTCACCCCCTAATTTTGTTTTGGTGTTTCACATGGCTCAGTCGGCCAGTTTTTGCCCCCTGGAAGCTGGGGCTGGACGTGAGATGGACCCTAACATCACCCTCAGCCTCCTCCTGTGGTCAGGCCCTCACTGTTTGCAGTGTGAAAAGTGCTATAGGGTGCAGAAGGAGAAGGTCATGTGCCAGCCTCCAGCACACACCTCTCCATCCGATGGTGGCACACACGCCCCCCACCACACACACAAGCACATGCTAGAGACAGCATGGAAGAGCCTTGGGCTCGGACACGAGCCCAGGATCCAGATTTGGACTCCACCTTTCAATCCATGCTCATTAGGTGCCTTCTCTGGCCTCAGCCCAGTTTATCCCTTGGTGAGGTTTACCGTGAGAGCCATCATGTAAGCTCAAGTCCTTGGACCCCACAGTCCCTAGTTCTCACTACCTCTGTTTGGGCTTTCACTTTGCCCTATGGAGAAAGTCCTCTGAGTGCACTTACTGCTGGAAAACGCCCAGCTCAGGTATTCTCTGGGGTCCTGCACAGAAAGCCAGTGTGGGGAGGCCCTGGGTTCATCCAGGAGGATGGGTGTGGCTGTGGAATCGGATTGGACCCTTCTCTCTCCATCTCGGGGCTTCTATTTTATTTGTATACTCCACCCACATCTTGCCTTTTAGAGGCTAAGATAATAGTTGTTAGTTGAATTCCTTTCTTGTCTCACTACCCATAAGTCTTCTTGCTCTGTGGACAGTGGCTACTTCAGGCATCTTCAGAAGACAGTTGGATCACAGGCAGCTTGTCTGACTTTTGCTGCTGAACCTTTTGGGGTTCCACGTACAGCCAAGGACTCAGCTTGGAGTGCCTGGGGGCCTGACTATCTGTTTCCAAGGGTATATATGCCTTTATTCTTTACTCTTTTAAAAAAATATTTCATGGAGATTGTTACATCATTTCCTGGTCTATTCCGTTCTTTCTTGAAGGTTGATATAAACTTGGCAAGATCTCCTTTCTGGTTTTAAGAAGGCTCCGTTATGAGTGTGGTTCATGTAATAGCTTAGAAACATAGTTCAGCTTTATCAGAAAAAGGCTTAATATTATATCAAAAAAGGCTTAAATATCTTCAATCTCAAAATGTTTTTATAAAGATATGTAAGTACATTGCTCAAGCTTCTTTTTTTTTTTTTTTGGCCTGTTTTGCCTTGGCCTATGATTATAACTGTCAGAGGGAGCCTGTGGTCATGACTTAAGTCTGCTCTGTGGAAATGGCTTTGATGTCATAAAGCTGATTCTACTTGGCTGCAGGATAATAGTACAGGAAAAGCCTATTGAGCCCATGTTTGTGGTGCTCAGTAGCAAGAAGGAGTCATTTACCATGTGCAGAAATGGGCTGCTGCTGAAATTGAGAGTTGTGGAAGGAGAGTGGTTAGTTGGTGGTGCTGGAAAAGGGCTCCAATGTAGAGCTGAGACTCTGGAGAGCACAGGGGGGTTCAAAGGCAAAGAGCTGTTGCTAAATCAGTGCTACCTGGAGGGCCATTGTCCCCGGTATGTGCATAATCTTGTATCAGAGGTAAAGACAGTTGGTGGGGGCTGGTGGTAATTGGGCCAGACTAGTTCTTGAAACCCTAGTAGGTTTTGAGTTTTATCCCCCATGAAATTAGCAAGTACAGGTTCTTTCTCTGATCACAGACAAAATGGGCAAATTTCACATTGCCTCTTGTTGCCTCTTCTGGGGGAATTTGCAGTTAGTAAAGAGTTACTGTTGAGATTGCATTTGACAGAAATTCCTTGTTTCATCCTAATGATCAGATAAAATCGTGAAAATGAAAATAATTGAGTGCAGATGGTGATAGATGCATTGATTAGTTTGTGAGAATCGAATAATGCACATGTTCATCAGATCATCACATTGTACACCTTGAATGTGTGCAGTTTTCATTGTCAACTAAACATTTAAAAAGTTGTTTTAAAAAAAGTGCAGCATTTCCTCTCTGTAGCCAAGGCTCCATTCCCTATAGGGCTGGGGCTGGGGCTCAGCTCCATTCCCTGTTGGATGTAGTGAAGATGCTTCATACCCACAGATGACCCAGGCCAGAGGACAGCAGCAAGTACCTACCAGCCCAGCAAACAAGGATGAAAGGGCTAAGCACAAAACAAAAACTACCAGCAGCAACAACAGGCTAGCTTAGAAGAGGAGGGAAGGAGGAAATGGTAATCTTTAATTGACTCATTGGCTGAATATTAGCAGCCAATTAGCATCTTTGGTGGGGTGCAGGGTAAAGAGGGTTGATTTTTCACAAAATAATTTGAATTGGATGCCAATACCCTACAGAGCGTCATTCAAGGAGTGGACATCAGGGCTGTGTAGCTCAGTGGTAGCACTTGCCTAGCACATGTAAGGCCTGGGTTCCATCCCCAGCATTATGACAAACAAAGCAATACATTCAGCAGAGACTAAAATAGATGAAGTCCAGCTGTCATGGAGTAGCATTCTACCTGGGGGACAGGTTATGCACAGTGCATGGTGCATAAGTCACATCCTGATGCCATGGGGCAACTGGAG